ACATATTTTCTCAGGTGCCAGGAAGCCCAGGGTTCTAATCCTGACTCTTCCTCTAGAATACCTTGGACAAACACCCTAGTCTCCTCAGCCTCAGTCTACTCATCTTGAAAATGGAGACTCATGGGTACTTACTGTATTCTGAGACTCATGGTCAGGATTAGAGATGGTGCTCTCGTGGTAACGTACTATGACATGTACCGCCTGACAGGAGTGACGCACTGTCAGCCAGTAACTTCAGTTAAGTTTATTGGCCAGATGGTACCAGGTAGGGAATAGGAACCCCAGGTCTGCTATGAGGCCCATTTGGTCTACTGGTCCCTTTTTTTTTTTTTTTTAAATATTCATTGTCAACTTTATAGGATCCAGAATCACCTAGGAGACAAATGTTTGGGAAAGTCTAGGAATATGTTTCTAGACTGGGTTAACTGGGGTGAGAAGACCCGCTCTGACTGTGGGTGGCACCATTCCATGGGATGGGGCCCTGGACTGAAGAAAAAGGAAGAAATGAGGTGAGCATCAGCATTCATCCACCCCTGCTTCCTGACTATGGATGCAATGGGACCCACTGCCTCATGCTCCTTCTGCCTTGCCTTCCCTACCATGATAGATTGTATTCTCAAGCTGTGAGCCAAAATAGCCCTTCCTTAAGCTGCTTCCTTAAGTTGTCAGATATTTTGTCATAGCAGTGGGAAGACTGTTGAGAGTGTGAGTGTTCCTCCTAGCTCCATTGCTATCGGTTAGCTCAGATGTACCTTGAACTGTGTTCCCAGCTGAGATGGGAAACCCTTGGGTTAGAGACCAGCTGCTCAGTACAAACTCTGGGCTGTGCCCCTGGACCATGGCCTTGGCTGCTGGCCATGAACCTGGCTTAGGCAACACCTGCTGCTCACTCTGGACTCTTGATCTCAGTGGGTCACTCTGGGCCTGCTGGCCCTAACCTAGATCTGAGGGCTGCTTGAGATCACCCTGGTATTTGGGCATGTGAGAATTTGATCTTGCCTGGAACTGTCTTCCTTTGATTCTCAGGCCTAATGGAGCCTTGGGACCCTGGAGGTACCAGCTAAAAGATACCCCAATCTCCTTAATCTGCTCTTCTGGGTTACAGGGCACAAAATCCACTACATGTGTCTTAAGGTTGTTCCTTAAGGAAGGTTGGAGAGTAAGGGGGACCAGGAAGTGAGGCTCTGGAGAGAGGGAAGGATTAGGAGGTGGAGACTAGTCATCTTTTAGAAAAATCAGTGTGTTTTTTCATAAGACTTATTTTTCATTAAGACAGGATTTCATATAGCTCAGGCTGGCCTTGATCTCACTGTGTAGGCAAAGCAATGCAGCCGAGCATGCCCTTAAACTTCTGATCCTCCTGTTTTTACCTCTTGAGTGCTGGGATTACATACATGTACCATCATGTTCAGTTTTTCTGAACCTAGAACTTTGTGCATGTTGGGTAAGTACTGATTGAACTACGTGTCCAGTCCAAGACTAATCCCCTTAATTGTGTAATCCCTATCTAGTCTTAACAATTTCAAGAGCACTCTCTCTGGGCTCTTGGTAGACTGAGAGAATTCACTGCCTATTACAAGCCCAGATTTTTTGTGCTGGGCAGATCTGAACTTATAACATGGCTTGGTCCCTCACTACATTGGTAGCCTCTGGTAAGCTGCATTATCTTTGGGTCCTCACTTACAAACTAGGATTAGTAACAGACCTATCTTACAGAGTTGATGAGATTGTTAAGCAAAACTGTGGAGGTAAGCACTTGGCACAGTGCCTGGGGGACAGTGGGAAGGAAAATGTTGGCTATGAACTATGATCAGTTGCCATTTGTAGCCTTCTTGCCTGCTCAGGGTCATCAGAGGATCTGATGAGAGGAGGGATTTGAATGGCTGGAAGCTGGAGAGCGTGATGCTGACAGAACATGGAAACAGCTTCTCAGTTTTTGGAAATTTGATGGATGTGCTGTTGGCTTGAGTATTTAGCAGTTGGAGAACCTAGGGCATTTCCCTGCTCCAGACTGGCTCCTAGGATGACATTTCAGTCTAGTGTAGGGGAAGGAAGGGGCTCTGAGTTCTCCTGTTGTCCCAGGGCCTTGCAGAGCCACCAGCTTTGCTGGGTCCTTCCATCTGAGCAGAGTGAACACTAAGAGTTACAGCTTATTTAAGAACTGTCTACCCATTCCCCAACTGGTGCTGAGTGGGCATAGGGGTGACACAGGACTGGGCAATGAGTCCTGGAGTATGATTCAAGCCTCCGCTTCTAGAAACCATATTGGAAGTCATTTCAGCAAAGCTTTGATCAGATTAGCTGCCCTTCAGATAACAGGCCTGAGTCCTAGGCCTATTCCAAAGGGCAATGCCTTCCACCCTGTAGGAGAACAAAACCCAGAACTGGGTTGGAATGAGAACCTGTTTTCTACTGGTTGGTAAATGCCTGAAGTATGCACCAGACCCCAAAGGTGGAAAGGAGGGTAGCCAAGTTCATAACAAAATGATGTTATTGCCAGCAGGCCATGCAGTTAGGTAGAAGAGAGGAACAGTATTGGTTGATGTGTATTGTATTGTATACATGCTGATGACATGTGTCACAGCTTCTGTAGACCCCACAGTGGGTGATTTACTCAGCCATGATTCCCTCCCCATCACCTTCACAAATGGTCTATATTACAAACACCTGTCCCTGCCCCCACTTTCCTTTCCAGAACAGCTGTATGCAGAGCCATGTGCTGAGGTAGACCCCCCCCTGCTAGATTGAAGGGATGGGCTGTATGTGTGGTCTCACTCAAGCATGACAATTCCATTCTCACTTGCTAATGATTGGTTTAGTGATGGTCATATTATCCAGTTCTGCCCAATGGGACCTGAGTCAAAGTCTTCTAGAATCTTCTGGAAAAAATTTTGCAATTTTGATCCCAGATTAGAAAGACATGGCAGGATAATCTCTCTCTCTCTCTCTCTCTCTCTCTCTCTCTCTCTCTCTCTCTTTCTCTTTCTCTCTCTCCAGAGTCTCCCTGTCGCCCCCGCT